TTTTTGAATAGTATATTATAAAACAAAGGTTGTAGCTTCCGGATCATATTGCAAATGATAATCTAGATGGACGAAAGTGTCCGATCACTAAAGTTACCTATTAAGAATCTATAATGATATCATCAAGCAACCTGTGTTTTCCTGGTTATCTTGTATATCAGAGTCACTTGCAACACAGGGGCACTTCCACATAAATGTAGTTATTACGACTAAAATATCGTTTTGGAATTAAATTTCAACTACCTATCTGGAATGATATAAGTTGTAAGTATCCATAACAGTAAATCTCCGCCACAAGTGTTGAAATATGGTGTGTCACGGGGCTCGGTCCTTGGACTCGTTTTGCTCAAAGCAAACATATCTCCTTTGGTGTCACACCAGACATCGAATTGAATGATACCAACGAGATTGAAAACATAAACTGAAAAAGCCTCTGATGCGGATGTATGATCGTGGATGAAATGTTACGAGTAATATTTGTTTCCAGTTTTCATATCATTTGTATCAATCGTGTAGATTTCTTTTTGTTTTTGTTATCAATTATGAATTGACGGTATTTTTGGACCAATTCTTTTATTCCACCCTTCGCTTTCCTTGTTTTCCAGTAATTCCAGAAATGTCTTATTTGTTTCTTATTCATTTTCCTTATTCATGACTAATCAATGATTTACTTACATAAAAATTATCATTTCTTGTACCACTCCCATTATATCTTATAAGCGTATATATTCTCTTTCTCAGAAGATTGTCTAGTAGATATTGTTTTCTGATTTCAATTGGTTTATTAAAAGCAGGGATTGACTGGTCTCTCAATTTATCAGGTTTTCTTCTTATTCCGGATCATGTTCCAATCGCCAGTAAGTAAACTCATATATGTATCGAACATATTATAGTGCGCACTGATATGTGGGGAGTAAATTGTATATGGATTAGACGACGACTTAGATTACTTTTTTTCTGTAATTCAATGTCAATGTAATTCACCTTTTATTTCTAGGTTTGCACTAGGTATGTAAGTTTTGTAAAAGAAATACATCAGTAATTATTGCATTTTTTTCGAGACATATTATTTGACAGCTCTGAAATGTTCTAATAATAGATTATACTCTTTTTTAAAGCCTCGATGTATATTTAATGTGCAAAAATGGTGACTATTATATGACTATTATCTCATCTTATATCAGTAATATTAATTTGTTTGATCATAATTTTTTAACTGAATCCTCGCTATTCATTTTTTTTTATCCTCATGTTAGTATCGTCATCCTTTAATCTATCTTTATTGTTATCGTTTATTTGAGGACCTGGGTTTACTTTTCATATTTAGCTTGAGTTTGCAGTTGACGGATATCTGGTACCTGGCAATCTCTGCCATTGTGACCATATATACCCCAGTTATAACACCTTTGATTTTAGCTGCAATAAACTCATTATCAATCTTAAATGGGGCGCCTTAATCGGTTATTCGTAATAAAGCGGGGTGGGGTCTCCCTCAATACCATACCACTGACTTATGTAGCCTTGTATGATGTACGTTTCCAATTCAGTGCCTAACTGAGTAATGTTTATTTATTAAATTGAGCAAAGTATGTGGATACCTTGGACGCTGCTACTCATACGGCACTTGTACTTACCTTTACATCAGGAAACGAAACCGATTAGGTCTCTTTATCGCTCATCCGTCTCAAACCCACAGGACACGGGCCTCTTATTAGGCCCCTCTCGCAAGTTTCCCATTAAAACATGTCTGCGATATCAAGTCCCTAGGGAGGAGGGAAGGAAGAGTGTGGGAATTAAATGGATCACTGTGCAAGTTCTTCTAAAGTCATAAACTCCAGATACCCGCGCCGGTAGCGGAGGCCGGAATTTTTCATGAAAATCTCCAAAAAATAAAAATGAAAGAAGACGCTGAATCCGGGGATTGGGCCCCCACCCACCAGATCAATGGAGGGGCCTCCAGTCCAAGAAAAGGGCCCCTTTGGCGTCAGTGCAAGGGCCCTGGAGTCCAAGAAAAGTGCTCCTAAATCGGAAAAAGGGCCCAGTTTACATCAATGCAAGAGCACCTGTTGTCCAATAATAAGGCAGATGTGTCACCCCATTATTCATCAAACCGAGTTCTCATTTGATGTTTTCTTATCTTTGTTCAACTCACCGCATTGGGCGTTAGATATTCGTTATCCTTCGATATGATGACAGCCTGCTGATATGTGCTAAAAGGATTTACCAGGCCCTAGACCCAATTAAATTGATAGTATATGTTGTTTATTACTTGCAATGTCTGTGTATTTATGGTGTATCTACTCCGCGGGTTTGTCCTATAGGTGTCAGATTAAGATTGTCTTCACCTATTTGGACTACAGGTACTGTTATGACCCCAGTAATGTGTTCAAAAATAGTCATTTTTACATGGCTAAAACAATTAACCTTCAAACATTTTGCTTTACTTGAGTTCTTTCAAACAAATTTATCAAATAATTGAAATAACTTTCACTTAATCTCCGACTGACGAAGGCTCCTGCTGCAGCTCCGTGGATAATATTGATCTCAAGGCAGTCATCAACATTTCAGAAAGCTTGAAAGAAACGTATTTTGCGAAATATTTTGCAATATGGCCTTATATTTAGTGGTGTTTCTTAGGAGTTGGTTATTAATCATTGCAAAACCACTCTCCAGTTAGATCACTCCATCTTTATCGCGCAAAATGTCACCCATAGCACGATGCATGGCGTATTGCCGTCCTCATTGGTCCAGTTACTGTGGAAGGAGGGCGTTGAACCCAATTTCAATCAAATTCTACACATTTGGACAACGACATCTTTGGTTCTATTTAGTATCTAAACACACAAGAAAGTGCTCTAAATCTCCTCTATACGGCAATTTAATTTTCAAAATTTGGGGGATCGGCCCCGAACCCTCCTTTGTTATATATCTAAGAATATATCATCCTTAAACGTACCCTCAAACATAACCCAACTTTTGTATTTATGAATACATTTAGGCTATATAAATATTAATCGATCCTTAAGAGCTTTGAAAATAGTCGACATATATATATTGCGGTTGTGCTAATAATCGTTTATAAATTATAGGAAGCACTACTGTATAAGAATTAACAATGTGCGTATCTGGTCTATAGATTAGATTATTGTTTATAATTTAAGGGTATATTCCGCTGTGATTAGTACCTGAATGAGCCAATATGCCTGTGATAATCGCTTGGTTGCGAAGACATTGTTCGTATTTGACGGTTGTTTTTTATGGTTTTCCTTTCCACATTATTTACCGCGCGATATGCAGTTTTATGGTTTACCGTATACTGGTTAGGAATCAGTAACTTTCGCAGAAATCCAAACGTCTCTTTAAGCGGAGCCATTAACAGGTCAATTCCTTCCTTGCCTAGAACAATTGGAAAAAGAAGCCGTGGTGGATGTATTTTGTTTGTGATAACAGGAACGATATACCCGTATTTTTAACTGAAATATTTTACAGATTTGGTATAGTTGTTTTTAAAGTTTTATCTTCATTCTTATTATTTTGCTTTTTGTTTCACCCAAGCAATTGCACACATGGTTTATCGAAAACGTTTCGATTCAAACTTTATGGTGGTTTTAGAAACCACGGTCTTCACGTTTCGTATTACATACCCATTTGTCAAAGTATCTCCAAGACAGAAAAATCGGTTTGGTACACGATATTACATTCTTTTTCAAAACTATCAAAATATGTATCCGCTTGTATGAGTTTGGAATTGGTACGAGAACTGCATCAAACTTTTATAACAGTAAATATATTTAACAGATCTATTTGTTATGGTGGCTGATTGGCATCATGTTGTGATGTCGTGGTGTTGCCCTTCATACGGCTCTGCTCCGACTGGGATAATGAAAACGGGCATACGCTATACAGTGTACTATGAGGGAAACTATGCCCGGATAGTGGCGCTACGGCCTACTCTTATATTGAATTCCAACTGCTGTGAGATTGTCGTGTTTCTAGGTTGATTATGGTATTGAAGGACGGGTTTGATTTCTACCAAACAGAATCGAATTTTATACCATTTGGGATACGTGGTCAAGTTTCGATTATACCAAAGAAAGAGAACTGCAACTGACCACGTCAACCAGACAATACGCTTGAAGGAGATTTAGGACGAATTGGTGGTACAAAATACAGCATAAGACACATTTTTTTGTGTTCTACACCCTGCGTCGGGTTGTAGTATTTTTTGAGTGTCCGATGAAAACTGGAAGTTGTACTAATTTTGAAATCTTTATTTTTGGTTAAGACTAACGTTTGCAAAATTCCTGGTAATCATGCGAAGAGGGGACACCATCGCAGCCTTATGCTTCTGATTCCTTAATAAATGCCCTTAACTCTTAGGCCTCAACGAACTTATCTGAACTCTATATACTTGTATAAACTATTGATAGAATTCACTGATAAAATACTTATAGTAATTTAATGATAATATTTTGTGAAGAACAATTTGTAGAAAAGTTTATGATAAAATAACTATGAATCATAATACAATATCAGAACCACCATCTTTTTTAATAGATTGAAGATTAGGGGGGGGGGCAATATTGGTTTATTGAGTACATAGATGTACAAATATGTCAGTCATGAAGTGTCATCAACATCAACTGGTTTATACCGAAAGCGTGAAAGGCGGGGTTAGATTTAGGAAAGGAAGGGGGTGGTGGTTACATGTTCCGGACGACCTGCATACATGAGCTTCCCTCCCCAATGAGTTAATATGTAGTCTACGGTTTTTGTCATTGTCCTTCTCGACTCACGGCCCGCGATGTTGCTCATTGGAACAAGTGCCAATATCCATTCTTCTAGGATGATGTGCACTATAATAATGTAGTATTTGTTATTTTCGCATTGAGACAGGATGTGGTGAACCCTATCATCACAAGGGACTTTATAATATTTGCTACTGTACACATACACAAAATCATTAAATGCCATGTCTTTCATTCCAGTCTGCGTGGTAATATAAAGGGTAGTATTTACAATGCCCCGTTTTGAATCCGACATGGTTAATGCTAATAATACGTCATATGTTGCGGACGATGGAGGTGTTTCCGGTCCTATAACCTGGGACGATGCCACATGGATCCTTACCAGTTCTTTCATCATTTTTACTATGCAATCAGGTAAGTCACTTAATAGGTCTCTGGTTGGCATTGAGTTCATGGCATGTTTCTGTCGACCGACATTGATACCCAAACAGAATCTGCAAATTAACCAAAACATTTAATTGTTTTGACTATGTACGGTTTAAATTTGATTTTATATTTGTTCCATGGAATTTAAAAACGTAAAGAAATATATTAGGTATGGAAGCCTATAACTACCATTCATAATTTTTACTTTTCGCCCCTTCAAAAAACGAAAGTCGAAAAGTAGAAGTTACGACAAAGTTTGAGGCGACAGCACGCTATACAAGCAAAAATCGACTCGAAGAGAGGAAATTAAGAAATAATACACTGCGATAATAGCGCTCCTCGTTTTTTCCTAATTTCTTATTTTCGACTTGCATTTTGGCTTGTGTACCGCCTTGCCGACTTTCGACTTAGTCATATTTTTGAATTTATTGATGTCAGTAAGAAGGCGACAATACCCATGCCAAGCCATAATGCAACTCGAAAAGTAGAAATTAGGAAATAAACACAACGGGCTATTAGCGACCTGTCATTTTGGCTAACGGTCGTACTGTCGACTTTTCGAGTTTCGCCTCGGAAGTTGTGGTAGTCTCTAAATTCCAGGTCACATTTGAATACATGCAATTCGCGTTAACAAAATAGTCTGTATGATAAAGTCTAGTAGAGAGAGGGAGAGAAAGGGAGAGAGGGAGAAAGTGAGTGTGTGTGTATTTAAGACTAACATGTGATTCAATAACTATTTCAATACTTCTCTTGCACGTGTGTGTGTGTGTGTGTGTGTGTGTGGGAGGGGGCGGGGCTGGATGGTCGAATAGTTGTACGTGACAAGGAGTAGGGTCGCCTGTCTAACCTCGTGGGTTTTCTCCCGGTCCTCCAGTTTCCTCCCACTGCTAAAGACCCCTACACAGGAGCAAATTTTTAAAATAAAATTGAACCATATGTTATTCCCGAAATGACCACGTAGGGGTCTTTAGTAGTGGGAAGAAACTGGGGTACCAGGCAAAAACCCACAAGGTTGGACAGGCGACCCTACTCCCTTGTTTATGCGTGAAATCGCAACCACGCCACTGAAATCAATGACAGATCTTGTGATATCACGCGCACGCGTTAAGCCACTAGATCACTCAACCCCCATGTAAAACGCATTTATAAGTTTTTTTTATTATATATACCGGCACGGGATAATTGTTTTATATTCAAATATAAATGTATTCAAATGTGACCTGGTAAATTGAGACTACAACAACTTCCGAGGCGAAACTCGAAACGTTGACAGTACGACAGCAAGACAAAATGATAGGTCGCTAATAGCGCGTTTTGTTTATTTCCTAATTTCTACTTTTCGAGTTGCATTATGGCTTGGTATGGGCGCCTTCTTACTGACATTAATAAATACAAAAACATGACTAAGACGAAAGTCGACAAGACGGTACACAAGCCAAAATGCAAGTCGAAAAAAAGAAATTAGGAAAAAAACGGGGGGCGCTATTACAATGTATAATAAGACTTCTTTCTATAAAAGTAAACAATAAAGTTTTGATTTTGAAAACCTCAGAAAGAAAATGAGACTTCTTCTCCAGAAATTAAGGTCATATAAGATGAAAAGGGTCTTAGGTCTATTTTAATGTTATTTTTTTATTCCCTTGTAGGGTTCGGTCTTCTAGAAGCCGGGTCCGTTGCTGGTAAGAATGAGGTTAATATCATGATGAAGAATGTCGTTGATGTGGTTTTTGGAGGAATAACATATTGGATGTTTGGTTATGGGTTTAGTTTTGGAGAGGAAAAGGGTACAAATGCGTTTACAGGGGTTGGATCTTTTTTCGTTGACACAGATGGCGAGGATATGGGAATTATCTACTCCACCTTTGTGTTTCAGTTGTCCTTTGCGACTACAGCAACGACTGTTGTGTCTGGATCCATGGCAGAACGAACTAAGTTTTCAGCTTATATAATATTCTCTGTGTTCAATACCGTAGTGTACTGTTTCCCTGCTCATTGGGTGTGGGGAAATAAAGGATTTCTACGCGAGCTGGGTGTAGTGGATTTTGCTGGGTCTGGCGTAGTTCATCTTGTGGGTGGCGCCTCTGCCCTTGTTGCTGCTACGTATCTTAAGCCACGTATGGGCAGATTTGACAAAGACAGAAAAAGTTTCGCCATGAATAATCCTGCTGGTGCTATAGTGGGAATGTTTATGTTATGGTAAGTCAGGAACTGGTTTCTGGACTAATTTTGTTGTGTTGGTATACAATTTGCGTATTAAAGATAAATGATATATGTCCATACAAAAGTGTTTTTTTTTATATATAATTCATTCCAAAGATTTATATCTTTATTTCACAAGGTGGGGTTGGTTGGCATTTAATTGTGGAAGCACATTTGGAATATCTGGTGGTAAATGGAAATTGGCAGCAAAGTAAGTATTGGATATGCATGTATTATTAAATTATTTTCCATTGAAAAAATGTTCGTTGTAATGACCCAAAAGCTCGATCTTTTTAGTGACCGACCAACTTAGTTACCTTGTGGATATTGTAAGCTAAAGTAAAATGTAATTTAAAAAATAAGCTGCACATACACACAAACAAATAGAAATTATTGATCAAGTTGAAGTAACTTTTCACAAGAAAATATCCTGTCTTTATTAGCCCAGAAAAGGGCAATATATCCCATTTCATTTACAAGAAAATATATAATGCCCCGGTCTTTTCGAATTATCGCCATATTTATGAACGAATAAACGGTAGAGCAATGAACGGAACCCATGTATAATATGGAATCTCTCCAGCAAATACGGATACACCCCTCGATGTACTTTCAAAGTTTTATGATCGTGTTATGTTTCATTAGTTTCGGGAATTACTGAAGCGCTTGTTGTATTCTGTATTGTACGCCGTAATATGTATAACTGAAACAGTTGCTGATTTTAAACAACGGTTATACAGAATATGACCGGGATTGTTATCAATAATTTATTTACCAACATTTCCATTCTAGCGAAACTGTATACGCTCGGTCTATTCTATTTATTAGTTCTGGGGATGTTCTAACTAAACTATATAGGATATGTTGGATATGTGTATAATTGAAAAATAAATCTACGGGACATAATTTTTGAATAAATATTTCTTCTTAAAAATAGAGTAAAATGACCCCAAGATTTTTAAAGCTAAATTAAAGAACAGCTCATCTAAACATTTTTTTCTCACAAACATAATACTGTTTATTTTTATTTTTTTGTCGGGAAATTTGTGGGCACCAGCGAGTCTAGTTTATTGTAGAAATTGAGTTTTCTAGTATGTTTTATAGATGGTTATCCATTTTCTTTTCAAATTTGAAACTACTACTCGAAAAATCACATTAATTGATAACATAATATTTTTGTTATTGTTTGAGACTATCATGTCATTTTTAACCCATTTCGATATTCAGATAAATCTATCATACAAATATAATCACTAGTTAAATTTCATTTTAGAGCGGCTGTGACGACATTGATTTCATCATTTGCTGGTGGAATGGTTGGTATTTTACTCAGGTAAAACACATTATTTTATTGATTGTCAAGGCTTTGTCTTAAAATGAAAAAGAAATAAAACACCGAAGGAATCATTCATTACTAAAAGGTTTGTGCGAATTTCTGCATGGAGGTATTTGATGATATTATAAGGTTCCTCAGGGGTGTAATCGGTCAAGTACTCACCAGGATGATGATCGGTATAACACATGAAAGCAGAGAAACGTTATGTGTTATTTTGTTCGAATACAGGTAAAAGTATAATTTTAAGGTGATCAGAAGTAGGGTAATACTTATGACATGTACCTACATTCTGTTTATCCATGGAGCTCACAATTCTACAAAAAGGTCGATGCACACATTCAAACATCGAGAACTTCACAGGTGGGTAAAGGAAGGGGTTGATTGCTTTATTAGTTTATATGATTTTTTTCAGTGTCATTATATACAAGAAGAAATATTCAGTAGAATACATGATCAACTCTATACTGGGAGCTCTTGTGGCTATAACAGGTAAGAGACAATGTTGATTTGGGTACTGGCGAAAACGTTCGTTGTAAATTTATAGATCACGACCTTGCCACGACCTAAACAATCAACCAGATCTTGGCCGAGGGAGATGTAGATGCGCTGCAATAAACTTCTTGTTACCCCCATGGCTGCGCTCTAAAGACATTTTACGCGTAGTAAACGCGTAGCGGGGTCTTCGTTATGTGTGAAGTGGGCTTAAAGGGACCCTCCGATTTTAAAATAGTCTCAGAAATAAAAGTCGATGTACGTATGAAATTTAAGCACCAAAATAAAGAGGAATGGTGTATTTAGCTGGTCTCAAAATTTCAGCTCAAAATAATGAGTCTTTTGGACGTGAACGTCATAACCGCTTATCCGAACACTTAATCCTTTCAAGATTTCGGGTCAATTTTTTCGTTGGGAGACCCGATAATCTATTGCTGTTCATATATGTAGATGTCTATACAGTGCGTGACACGCGTATTGTACTTAATAACGTGAGGTAAATTTCACCTACACGTTATTTTTATAAAATAAAAATCTGGTTTTATCCAGAGACCATATAATACAGCTTGGAACACCAGTCTCCATTTCCAGATGAAGACTGACGGGTTTAACGTATATTGAGTTATTTGTCCGACCCTAAGGTAGGGGATTTTAAGGGCTTTTAACACAAAATTAAGCAGTTTTATTCTCCAAAATATAATTGAGATTGGCCCTTTAAGCGGTGAAATCCCCGTCACACCTCGCTACGACCTAAAACATTAGCCAGATCGCTGCATAAACGTGTCGGGTTCTTTGTAAGTGAGGTAAGAGTGTGGTGAGGTCATGGTTAGGAACGTGGAGAGTGTGATGTAGCTTGGTGCGTGCGTATTGGAGAACGTTTTCTGCATTTCACCGCGATCTCGCCACGCTCTGTAGACTCTTTGGGTGTAATGAGCGCCTATCGAGCTCCTATGTGTGAAGGGAGCTTAATCCCGTCTTAACAGTGGGGTGGATGTAGGGTAAGCCGGAAAACCAAAGGAAAACCCGCAAGGCTAGGTAGGTGGCTCTACAGCTAATCAGCTTATCATTATCATTATTCAGCAAGTTGTGCCATTGTTCGACCATGGGAATCACTAATTATCGGTGCTGTTGGTGCTGTGGTGTCTTTAGGAGGAAATAAATTGGTTGAAGTGTGTAAAGTTGATGATCCCGTAGGAGCTGTTGGCGTCCATGGTGGATCTGGATTATGGGTGAGTATTTTATCATTATTCAGCAAGTTGTGCCATTTTTCGACCATGGGAAGCACTAATTGTCGGTACAGTTTTTAGGAGGAAATAAATTGGTTGAACTGTGTAAAGTTGGTGATCCAGTAAGAGCTTTTGTGTCCATGGTGCAGCTGGGTTATGGGTGGGTATTTGATAACCCATGATGACGCTGGTGGGCTGGTATGAAATGGGGGTTAACGTAGCATTGTTATGAAAAATGTTATACGCCAGGGAGTATCGTCGCATTTCAAACGGATCGTGTTCCTTATTTCACTGTTTACAATGGAAACCCAACAAAGGGGTCGAATCTAGAACCTCCGGGTCATTGAGCCAGCGCCTTACCCACCAAGATACTGTTGCACATGATGTACAATAAATTAAGCCAATGTGGGGTCGTTTGAACCGGGCTTTTAGGAAACTCGCATTATCTTAGTGTTCACAGAGCTCTTTTGCCAGGCGTGGTTTTATTAGGTTAAGATTGTTCTATGCTTGCTATACTGTGTAAACCTCTGTTTATTTTTTTAGGGATTATTGGCTGTTGGAATTTTTGCCGCGGCAGACCCACAGGAACAAATAACTCAAGGGCGAGCTGGCCTGGTTCATGGTGGTGGATTTTATCTACTGGGTGTCCAATGTCTGTGTTCTGTTTGTGAAATAGTCTGGAGTGGATTGATCACTCTCTTTATTCTATTTGTAAGCAAGAATTTAAAAATTATATATTTTCCGGGGGGGGGGGGGACACAGCAAAGATTGGATGCGTATTTAAGAATCAATGTGTCACGTCCAATAGTCATTTTCTACATTTAAATTTAACAAAATTAAGCTCAGAAAAGAGTTTTTAAACAGTAATCTAAACGATTAAATACACACGTAGGTTAGGTGCCATATTTGGCTGGTGTTCATAGGTAGAAATGGTGACATGAATAGATGGGAAGTTTTGATCGGTATGGTTTCCGTTGGGATTGATCAATTTGAATAATTTATGAACCAATATGCTTTTCAATAAGCCTAACTCTCCCAGAGGGTGCTCAGACTTTAATAACGAAACTGGCGAACGTGGGGTGCTGGCTACTGAAAGTATGTTTGTTGGGTCTTATTTGCCGATGACTTGTAGGAATGGCTGACGCTAGTCTGAATCATTTTTGGTTATATAAAGGTGTGCAGTTGACTCGATCGACTTCTTTCATAATCCAAACCACGTCGGTCTGATTGTATCAACCAGTTTAACAGTTTTAATTTAATAATAAATCTAAAATTCCTTTACTAGCATGACTGTTGAGTCTTATTTGCCGATGGCCTGTAGGATAATAAACCTAAAATGTCTTTATCCTTTACCAGTATGACTGTTGGGTCTTATTTGCCGATTGCCTGTAGGAATGGCTGACTCATGGCTGAATCAAGTCACTTTGGGTTATATAAAACGCGACAATTGACTTGTTTCAAACCAAGTTGGCCTGGATGCATCGACCAGTTTGATAGAGTTTTAATTTAATAATAAACCTAACATTATTTTATCCTTTACTAGGTGATTGATAAACTAGTTGGGTTGAGAATGAGTCGAGAAGATGAGATGCTTGGCGCGGATTTAACGGAACATGAAGTGGGCTCGTGGCCGGCAGAGAGTATGCATAAAGACAAATGTGACACTACTAACACCGTGCGGCGTGGGTCGCATATTATGATAGGCGATCTTACTATTCCAGTGTCGAAACTAAGAGACAATTCAAATCGAAACATTTTCAAAAGAGACACTTTTAGAAAATCGAAAGTAGCAACAATTGATAATGATAAATTCGTTGGACAAAATGGATCCAATGTGGAAACTGAAGTAGACAACAATAACGATAACCAAAATGAAGTGTCTTTACATTTATAACATCTACGCAATCCCTCATCAAAGCGTCCATAATGAAAATACTTGGCGGACATTGAAGCTGCATCTACATAAGGCCTAGAACTCTTGCTTTGCGACTACCGGTATCTAAGTAAATGACTCTAAAATGTCACTTCCAGGTGACATCATGTGCTGTATGTGAATTCAAACCTGACCTGTACGAAGCTTTGGTCACATTTTTTTGTAACCCTATAAACCAGAAAGTTCCTTTCCGTGTTTATAATAGGCTATAAAATACGTCGTTTTAATATTTAGAGTCGTAGACGGTTCTTCTCGAGACAAGAGTTAAACTAATGCAGCACTAATCCACGCCATCTCTCCTGTTCGGTTGTTTGTGTTTTAACCCAGATGATGTGACAAATTTAAGCTTCGTATTGAGCAATTACGTTTTATTCGGTGTACTAGTTTATTAATACACTTAAGAACTATGTTAATTATGTGCAGATCTTACCACTACAAGTAGCTGTGCTTTCATTGGTTTGTACGCTATGATTACGGACCAATTAGTAGTAAAAATGAAAATATTAGATAATTATTGCAAGGGTTCCTTCGGGGGAGTGAAATCAACTAACAAATATATTTTGAAAATATGTAGACGTTGTCCTACAATTTATTAAAAATGATATTACTGTTAATTATGTTTCCCCGGCATATACATGTATATGGGTCTAGTTAACGAAATAAGTTACTCATGACACTAACACCGTACATTCTGCACTAAGAGAACTGTGTACTTTGAGAATAGATACTTGTCAACATTCTCAAAGTATACTTTACAATGCTTACAACTAATATCGCCGATTGGGAAATTAAAATGTCTGTCAACCAGTTTAGTGGCAGCGTAAATTTAGTATGTAATGAAGTATTGAGGTCATAAACGTTTTTAAATTAATTGTTCGTGTAATAAAACAGTGGCACCCAATAGTGTTGCATAATATGTTACAATTTTATAACTTATAAGATAATATCTTTGTTATTTAGTAGCCCACGAGAAACAGATAATTTTTATATCATAGCATATTGTTATGAAGAGTTTGCTGATATGCAAGATGTGTGACTGTAGAGGTTATCATCACGTTTATTATGTGGTCATTATTAATTCTTTTAGATCTCATTTTCTTGTTTTCAATAAGCAATTGATGTAGCAGTGGCAATATTTTATAACCTTTTAGTTTCTTTTTGAAAGCAATGAATAATCGAATTTAAGTTAAAACGTTTAGATATCGTTGTTGTTGTTGTTTTTTGTTAAAGTGCACATAAGATGGGTTTTGGAACTTTTGGATATGTGTAGCCAATGGTTACTATATCAACTTTACGGCAAGTTCACACCAATCTAATTGAAATTAATTCAGTTATCTTCAGTCAAAGTCGTAAAAATGGACCTCCCGTGAAAACGACTTTGCCAATTATCGAAAACACTCTTAATCCCCTCAGACGCCAGTGACGTCACAGTGCCCGAATGCATATTCGGAATGTTTATTCCTTAATTACCTATATACAGCCGGCGTGTGTACTCATTAACGCCTGACTGATTCCTTAATCTCCCTTAGTTCTTAATTAAATAAAACAATTGACTTCGGAATAATTCGTTTTGTAATTCATTTTAATTGAAGATCCAATTTAGATTGCCTACAACTTTTAAACTTTGAAGTCTTGAACTCTTAATTAATTTTTTACAATATGGAACTTATTGGACGAACACTTTTAATATGTAAATAATATACCGGTCGAGCTATGTGTTTTTTACTGCGAGCACTTCGCTTTTCCACATAAAGTGTAGTGTCGTTAATATTTGTCATTAATTAATCAATCCGACTATAAAAGTTATACAGGCATGGGTCATAAATTACACGTCGGTGTTAGCAGTGAGTGTTAGTGGGATTAAGAATGTTGATTAGGTAATTATCTTTTTTTACGCCGGCCAGATCAAAGACATCACTCGAAGTGGAACGTGTGCATAATACCTCATGAACGAACTAATGGTAGAATCGTACACCCACACATTAATTGTATAAAATCATTAAGTTTTACTCATCAGTTGTTTATAAGTATTATTTACCCAATAATTATTGCTCACCAGTGTTTTTGTAATCAAGTAGCCTCGTATTATTTGTTGATTGGCGTTTAAACAACAATCGTTTATCTTCTTTTTAATAAAAGTATTTTACAATTGCATTGACAGTTTAATCACTCACCAAACGGCACCAGGAACTCCACGTATGATCTCGTGCAATTTTCGTGCCGAAGTTTAACCTCATTTACTACACCCGTAGCACACTGATCCGCAGTGAATATTTGCTTGGCCGCGACAATCACTGATAAGGATGACATTGATGCGGCTTAATGAGCTAGAAATATTAACTTTTTTCCTGCGACAAATTAAATTCTAAAACATTTTTTGTATATATTGGAAAAATAAATAAAGGCGTTTGACGTATTTGTAGTTAAAAATTATTTCCGATTTAGTGTAAATGGGTATTAAAATGACTAAAATGCAGCATTCTCTCCGAAGCAGTTATGTCTTATGTAAACAATGCACGCGCCATTCAGCCAATGATTCACACCGCGTGCTGTGACAGCACGTGTTAAGGCAGTCATCTATGACAGAGATATTATACGAGACTCGTAATTCTCTGTGAAACAGATTGCACCCGTAGTACATGTAACCGTAAATGGTAATAAGATTCCCAGCGTTGATTGGCTGAGAAATGAGGGCGATCTATTGTACATGTTATGCATAGTCATCGGAAAATTCCATATTCACTGTAAATTTCAAATGGAGTTACGATAAAAGTTGTTTTTTATGTATAGAAATGGTTATTATTATTATATATAGCTAATAATGAATATATGGACAAATGACTGGCGCCATTATATCAAGTATTACGGGGTTATCCAAATTACCGGTAAATGCGCTAATTTCTTGAGTCGTCTTCATTTGACATGTGGCCTATTTAAACAAAGGCAGCTTAAATGGATCTACGGCATGATACGGCATTTGAAATTCACTCGATAATTCGGTGATTATGATTAGGCCAGTCACGTGGTAATTGGAACGTCAACAGACGCTTGTCAACTTGCCGTGTGTATTGATAGTGCTATATTGTACAGACGGTGAGATATTGTATAGATAATGTATATCCTATGTGTAGTGCCTGTGACGTCACCAGCCAATCAACCGGATTAAGGTCGTAATTGAAAAATTGGAAAGCGTTTTGGCGTGTCGGACACAGGCACGTCGAAAGCCTTAGTTAAATCTAGCTTTCGATTTAGTCTGGCTAGACGGGCTGCTCTTCAAGTTAGGACGTATTGGTATAACGGGCATAATGTTTCGGTGGATCAAAAGCTTTCTGAGCGATAGAAAGATACAGGTGAATGTTGGCAGATTCCTGAGTGCCGAGCAAACATTAGAAAATGGCACGCCTCAGGGATCGGTTATCAGTCCCACTCTCTTCAATATCATGATCAACGACATACAGAAATCGTCCTACCTCGACGCCAAAACTGAGTTAGCTAAATTTGCTGATGACAGTACCATATGGAGGAAAGGGAGGAACTTCTGTGAACTACAAAAGAAAATGCAGAAGGCCTTAGACAAATTCATGGCATGGGCAAACGATTGGGGATTCAAAGTCTCGGAGAAGAAAACAGTCGGCATGCTTGTAAGCAGGGATAGAGGGATAAGCAGAATGACTCTGTGTATGAACGGGAAAACCATCGAGTTTAAAGACCAAACCAAGTTCCTTGGCGTAATCTTTGACCGAAGGCTGACCTGGAAACCGCACATCGACGAGACTAGCTAGATGCACCAAAATCCTAAACTTAATGAGGAAAATAACGGGAAGCACTTGGGGGGCCAACAGAGTCACACTAATGATGGTGTATCGTGCTCTAATACGATCTGTATTAGACTACGGCTCTCTGGCCTTCATGAACTGCGCGCCATTACTGGGCTAAGATCTCGCAACTGGGCGAAAGATCCCCAACCTTTGTCAGTCTAAAAAATACAAGATATGTGAGAGATCCTAGAAAGAAAAGCTTCGGCCAGGGTATCAGGGAAACAATCAAGGAAATGCGACTGGGGGAGCTTGTGATAAATGAACACGACCCCCCAGTGATCGCCCCTTGGACGCTCCCTATACCGCCGGTTAATCTAGATCTACTACAGAAAACCGACAAGAAAAACAACCCCACTGCTGCACGTGCTTTCTCTCTAGAACACCTGGAAGACAACTGGCCGTCTGATGACTGGGACCATGTGTACACGGATGGCTCACGCAATCCTGAAAGGGGCACCAGCTCGTTTGGAATATACCTGCCAAACGGGGAACTGGGAATAAGCAGGAAACTGCCCAATAACTGTTCGGTGTACACTGCAGAGCTTGTGGCCATTCGTGACGCTATATCATGGATTTCCCATCAAAAGACTATTAAGTTCGTCATTCCAAGCGACTCTCTGAGCAGTCTGATTTCAATCCAAAATGACAACTCGGACTCAAGACCAGAAGTCATTTTGGAAACCAGGCAGCTGTACCAGAGGGTTTTAGAGAAGGGAAGCAAAGTAGAACTCGTGTGGATTCCATCACATGTCAACATTAGAGGAAACGAGGAGGCAGATCGACTCGCCAATGAAGGTCTCAAGGACACAGCACCACTCCGCACCATAGACTACAGCACCACGGAAATCTACAGTATGGTCAAAAGACACGTCAATTCAATCTGGGAATTAAATCTCCTTGACACATACCTATTCCGGCTGGATGACAAGATCTACACAAAGACAACACTCAATCACCCTAGAAGAGATATTTGTAGACTTATATCGAAGCTAAGGGTGAAAGAGCGGCTGCGAGACTACAAACACCAAGTCATCATCTGTGAGTGCGGGGAAGAATGTACCGCCAACCATGTCCTGGTAGACTGCGAGGTATACGAGGAGGAGAGAAGGGAACTAGTGAGAACAATGGAGACCAACAACATACCATTCAACACTAAGAACCTACTCTTCCCGAGACCAGATCTGAAACTGCAAATCTTCGAACAAATCCATCACGCCCTAATGGACACAGTTGGACTAAGTAGAATAGTGAAGTAAGAGGGGGTCACGGTTAGACGGGCCCGGCATCTAAACACTAAACTACATAGGGGATTTATACCAAACTGGCAGGATAGTGGAGTAAGGGGGAGTCACGATCAGACGGACTCGGCATCTAAACACTATTCCACCAAAAACAGACACCAAACCTACAGAGTGGGATAGTGGAGTAAGGGGAGGTCACGATAAGACGGGCCTGGCACCTAAACACAAACCCCACAAAGATGACATCTACCAAACTAGCAGGATAGTGGAGTAAGGGGGAGTTACGGTCAGACGAACTTGACACCTAAACACTATTCCGCAAATAAAACGGATACCAAACCCAGAGAGTGGGACAGTGGAGAAAGGGGAGGCCACGATAAGACGGGCCTGGCACCTAAACACTAACCCCAAACGATGACATCTACCAATCCAGAAGCAGACGAGATCATCTACCAAACGATATGTTTTGTATTAAATAAAGGGAAGAACTTCCCACTAAACCAAATCCATGGCCTAAGGCCAAATGGAAAGATTGCAAAATCATATTCTAAAAAACAGGAATCAGCTTCGGCTCTCCTATGTCTTGTCTGCGATATCACTTATGTGGAAGCAGACGTTAAACACCAAGAACGAACGAACGACGGACACTTAAACGTTAACAGCCGACTTAATTTTAATCAGATTGGTGAGACGTTGCCGTAAAGTTGATATAGTAACCATGGGCTATACATACATGTAATTTAGATTTTCGATCTTACGTGGTCTTTAACAATTTTAACGCCGTTCAGATATCGTTTTTTCTTCTATATAGCATCAGTGACGGAGATATTACAATAAATACATACCACCCTCTGTCCCCGTAAAGACTCTAAATGGAAATTGAGCGATTGAGGAATCCTTTGCAAGCTGTTGTGAAAGTGGGAATCTCAGAGGCAGTCTAAATAGTTCAATTCCGTTCAGTATTACAAAGATATGGTCAATTGATATATTTGCAAATGATATATAAACAGAGAAACATAAAGGAATTACTTTTCCAGAAGTTAAGAGTTAATTTATTTTGGTTTGTCTAATTTGAAATCAGTGACAATGATGCAGTGATGTGGCAAATGCACTGGGTGCAAATTCTTAAAATTGAATCAATCTCTTTTCTTTCAAAGCTTGAAATTATACTGTCTGTTGGTTTCTTCGTTAGAATCTCAACGGTCCCGCCGGGAGCACGGGGACAGTTGTGTGCCGTCTATGAAAATGGTTTAGATCACACTGATCAGAAGTGAATATACGCTAGGCCACTACAATCACTGATGGCATCGATGCGACTTAATGAGCCCCAATTATTAACTTTTTTCCTCCGACAAATTAAATTCTAAAACAATTTTTTTTAATACATTAGAAAATTAAATAAAGACGTTTGAAGTATTTGTAGGTTAAAATTATTTCCTATTTAGTATAAATGGGTATGGGTATTAAAATGAGTAAAAGGCACCATTCTGCCCGAACCAGTAACGTCTTATGCACGCGCCATTGAGCCGATGATTGACGCCGCGTGATGTGACATTATGTGTTAAAGACAGTCATCTTTTACAGAGATATTAGAAGACTTTCGTAATCCTCTGTGAAACAGAATGGGTTTAGATATGTATTCGCAACGTTCATTTTTCAAAAACACACACAGGTAACCTGGACATAATATACACTGACAGCTGATGGAAGAAGCGCTCGCTCAGTAAGCCACTGGTTAGCTATCCAGTAGGTCCTTGGGATTTTCCGCCGGCATGATCCTCCTTTATTAGTAGTGTCTGAAAACCGTTCGGATGGGCCGGATACCCCGGAGTCCCTTGGCGTGCACGCAAAAGAACCATTGACAGTTGGAATTCGAACTGCCGGGAAGGACAACTGCCGGCGAGACAACTGCCGGTGATATCATTTGTTTTTTCTGTATTTATGTCCAATACTTAATGATTGAATATTCTTTATTATTATCACACAGGTTCAGTTTATTTAACACTTTGTCTATAATAGCACTCACTAATAGTAAGTGCAGGAGGACTGCACTACACGCAAAACAAAAATCTACAAGATAAACCTGCGGTCAGAACAGAATATAGACATGGCAAAAAATAAACAAATATCAAATCAAGTGAAAGAATCTGGAGGCCAGCCGTAAGCGTCCACTGTGCTGTATAGCCCCGGGTCGGTAATGTTTTGGGAGCGCTTCAAGGGTTTAGAAATAAATCTTGCTTTCTATATATTCCCCTTTCCTTTAATGCCTGGATCTTTCCCAAATGACAATTTGAACAATTCTTTATTTAGCTCTACAATAGGCTTGATAAATAATCCTTTCTATTGTAATTGTGGCATAAAAACATGTTTAAAACCATTTTGAAGAGAAGCAAATACTGAAATACTGTGAGGATTGTATGCCAATCAGCCACCATAACTGCTGATTTTTTTTATACCCATAATTATAGTATTTTTTTTATAGTGGCGGACTAGTGCACCCGCGGACTAGTTTTCGGGGAAGGCAACGGACCCCTCTTTTTGTGGCGAAGCCCGTATCCCCCCCCCCCCCAATGGTCTCTGGATCCGCATTTGGGACAGAACTGGCGCTTTTTTTTTATGTACCTAACCCATTTACACTAATTCTTTTTTTTTTTTTTTTTTTTTTTAAAATAGGCTTAGGCCTATACTGGTTTCGATTCCCCCGGTTGTAGCCTACGTGGCAAGGAGTATGGTCGCCTATCCAACCTCTTGGGTTTTCTCCAGGTCCTTCGGTTTCCTCCCACTGTTAAAGATCCCTACGCGCACGCAGCACGCGAATTATTGAAATAAAATTGAAAAGTGTGTTGGTCCCGAAATGACACACTTTTGTGTCGAGTGGACGTTAACCCCCCCCCCCTCTCTCTCTCTCTCTCATACACTGCGTGAAGTTGCGTGAAGTGTCCGTATCTATACAATCCCGGTAGGTGCATGGGCTACTGAACATTGGACAAACCAAATTGGTCACATAATTTGTAACAAATTTGTAACCGCGATGGTTTCATTTACCTACAAAGCGTAGTTAAAGGGGGGTAACTCCATTGAACAGGGACGGAGAAAATAAACTTCTACTGCCGTCTGGTATTGGCATTATGTGACATATTATTACTAGTACTTTCATATCAGTATACTATTAATCATAGAACAAAGTATGCCTGGAAAGTTTAGACAGGTGATCTACCTGCAATGAAGAAGTCGTTTATCGAATTCTTACCTTTGACCCTCTGATGATACGAGGCTGGGGTCGAGGTCGAACCGAAAATTTATAAATATTTGATTGGTTGATATTTCTGATAACATTTCTGGTTGGCTAATGTCATCAGTCTGCGCATGGTCCGATTCATTGATATCAGGGAAAGCCGATCAGAGATTCAGTAAAAACGGCATTGTGCTCTGTTCGCTTATAAAATTACCGAATTAGCAAACATACCTTTTCACCCGTTTGTGGAAATTCTTAAAGGTAAGTATTTTTTTGTCTTTAACCCTGTAGTGTCGTTAACAATCATACCACCCGCAACTTAAGACGATCACCATGCCATGGGCATGGGCATGGCCGATCGTCCGACCGATGCAATCATACATTCATACATTCCGTTTTGGCTTTTCAAATTCCAAGTTCATTAGCCTAAACAAACGATAATTGTAATTTGCGGTCAACGGGGGACAATATATACTGGACTTGAATTGGATTTAAACTCCATGGCAAGAATAGAAGTTATGTTTATCACATTACGAACCATTCTGAGAAATGAATTGCCCCGATGCTTTGGGTGACAGTATCGTACACGTCCTGGGACCCGAATGAAAACGTCGATTAATATAATCAGATGTTTACGATTGGTCTCTACAAGTAGATTTATCTAGGCAAATACTGAAATAGGCTAATGTAATCCGGTTAGTCCATTAATGAATGTCATCTACTTCTTCATACTGCTAGAGTACTATCCTCGGATTAATACTTTGCAAATTGATATGATTAATGCGAAATACTTCAAAACTTACCAATGCCAATAAATAAACAATTCTAAAATCTAAACTAAAATAAACTTTCTCTAGCGCTGGTTGTGTAACACCCAAACCAAATACTATTACTAAATACTAAAATAGATATGGTAATTATTATATTAAATAATAAAGCCCCCCCCCACCTCTCCAATTAAATTAAAAGGTCCCATGTACGTGTTATATCAATAATTTTCTTGAATTTGAACTGTACATAAATCTTATAATTATGGGTGAATGTAAACAAACCAATTTAATCATGATGATGGAAATAAACGTAGGGGACACCCTGGCCAGCGAGATGAAGAAGCCTGTTTAATTTCAATAATTTACATTTGTTACTAGTTATGGCCCTTGTTTCAGTTTGGGAAACCTTGAGAACCCCCAAATGTCGAAAATTATAATCTGATCTGTATGAAATTGTCTTGTAAATGCCCTCAATTAGCTACAAAAGAATAAATACACGTGTATGCAACAAACCCCAAACCCTTGTCGAATGCTGGGACGATTTAGCTGCTGTGGGCATATATTTTGTTGCCTGGCAACCTATCTTTATCTCACTGAGGCTATTCCAAACTCATTTGGCCTGATCTCACCGGTCTATCTCATTGTCTGTTTTAAACGTAGTCACTGATCAATGATATAGGTCTCAAACACATGTATTCTCACCAAGTGAAATCTTCACTGCACACGAGCTCATGTATACATGCAAGGTCCCTTGTGTATACACTTCTGCAGAGCTGTAAATTGTCGTAAAATTCTGGCGGCCCCTCTAGAAAGAAAATGTCCCAAGCCATGATGTCAGCATTTGCAGTTTGCAGTGAGTTACTTTAAGATGAGTTGTTTCAGTGGGTACACTAGCAAGCTAATACACAAAAACTTTCAAAAGATGTGGCTTGCATGACGAGCACATTTGTATAAAATTGTAGTTTTCTCCTCAACTTATAGTTTGTAATTTGGGAACCCACGGTGTCTCTGTGAGTAAGATGTTGGGTCGCTAACCTGTATTCAATCCTGGTGTTGGTCTAGAAGGTTCATCCAGATTTTCTGGCGTGATTCCCCCTTGTCAGCGATGTAGGCCGGAGGGCTTGGCAAGGGACAACATATAGTCGTTTGGATGGGACGTACAATGTATATGTCTGGTCCCATGTACATGTAAATGTACACATTGGCATACACTTAAAAGAACCGTTTAGAATTGGAATTTGAAATAAGATTAGGCGGTAGGCAAACATTCAAACACTGCAATATATCCATCTTGATTAGCCCAGTCGGTGCAGAAAAGTAAATTGTTGAACCCCATTTCATTTCACTTGTTATAAGTACACACTATGATCAGTGTTAAACTGATTAAACATGCATTATTAAAGAGCTAAATCTGCCTATTGCAGGTTTTTCTTTAGGCCTGAAATGTTATATACTATTCAAAAAAAGTAGGGGATATTTGATTTTTAAGTGTTATTAAAGTCACCTAATGAAACTGACGAAGAAACAAATGACAAAATGAAATGAAGTTCACATTCATCGATTTATTCCAAATGATCGTTAGACTAAGTAAGACACAGACTGACCATTATAAGGGTAAAATGATACCCGGGGTCAAACAGCAAAGTTACCACAGCATCACAACCAAGTCAGTAACAGGTAAATCCTTCTCTGTTTGCCAAACAAGCATTGATCCGACGTGGCATACTCCTAATGAGACGTCTAAGGTCATTTTGGTCCAGATTGTCCCATTCCTGTTGCAACGCAGCAGCAAGTTCTTGGACATTGGCAGGACGTTGTTGACGTTGACGTAACCTCTGTCCAAGCATGTCCCAGACATGCTCGATGGGGGAGAGGTCGGGACTCAGTGCTGGCCAAGGTAATGTGGTGATGTTCTGTTGTTGGAGGTAACCTGTAACGATCCTGGCCCTGTGACATCTTGCGTTGTCATCCTGGAAGATGAAACGGCGGCCATGACGTCGTGCGAACGGCACAACATGGACTGCCAAGATGTTGTCCCGGTAGTACTGGCCTGTAACACGCCCTGCAACAACATGTAAAGCCGTTCTTCCAGCAACAGTGATGCCTCCCCACACCATAACAGAACCACCCCCAAATCGATCATGTCTGATGACGTTAACGTCTTGGAAGCGCTCGTTTCGACGACGCCACACCCTCCTACGTCTGTCCAAAAAATCAACAGTGAACCTTGACTCATCTGAAAACATCACATTGCTCCAACGTCGATTATCCCAGTGTTGACGATCCCTACACCAACGACGTCTTGCCTGAATGTGATGATCTCTCAAACAAGGGATCACGCGAGGACGTAGGGCGCGAAGGTGACCCCTATGCAGTCGATTCCGAATCGTCTGGCCACTCACTCTCACACCAGTGTCTGTTTGAAGAAGTGCGCTGATCTGATTTGCTGTGATGACACGATTTCTCAAGGCCAAGGTACGGATAAATCGATCCTGGGCTTGAGTTGTCGCCCTTGGTCGACCTGAGCGTGGTCTGTCCTGTACAGATTGTGTATCACGGTATCTGGACCATAGCCTGCTTATGACAGACTGAGAAACATTCATCGTCCGCGCCACAACCGCCTGTGTTGTGCCGATCTGTAGCATGCCAAGGGCACGTAACCTTTCATTTTGGGTAAGCCAACGCATATCAAAATTTGTTTTCTGGTCACTAAAACAATTAAGCTGATTTTTCCACCCTGGAATTCAATGCCACAATGACTGTAACATTCAAAGTCAGAGTCGTGCAAATCTTGGGTTGGACCCCCATGATGATCCCAAGCATCACCTGCATTCCATGCGGTAGCTATTGGTGCGTTTGGGCGTCACATGTAACTGGAAATGTTTCTTCTGTTAGGTTCTATAGTGACTTTTTTCGTAGTCATTTGCATATTTTAGTATTATGCCCCCAAAATCAAATATCCCCTACTTTTTTTGAATAGTATATATAAATTATTAATTAGACATTATTTAACGTACCTTTATTAACTTGTGATGCCATCATATGCCTGCGATATTTAGTAGATTCAAATACGTTTTGTAGTGGATGCGGTTACTGTACCATTAAAATGGATAATCAAGACTTGGTTTATTATCGTAACAATGGTAGTAATGACAATCGAGGCAAACAAATAATTTTATTGCTAATATCTAAGCTCAGGGTGAAATTGTTTGACTGGAATTTTCAACATATTCTCTTTTCATTATCTATTTTTTAACTATTATAATTAACAAGAACTGTTAGCTCTTTATCTAATCTTACCTACGTGTAATGTCGCTTTAATGTACATGCAGTACATGTATGTACAATTCTTTAACGACCATATTGAATTTTTATGAACAAAGAAATCAAAGATATTATGTCTTTATTAAAATACAGCCCCATAGAGTGTAAAGTAATGGCCCATTCGCACCCATTGTACATGTAGGCTACTAATATATTGTTAGTTGTTGTCATATTACTTTCATAAAGTTAAACTTTGTTTTTTTATGTTGATATAAACTAATGTATGACAACCAAGGGCCATGCATTCATTGGTGTCTGAGGAACACAGTTCTCAGGTTATTGAGGCATTAAGTACATGTACAATATGTACACATACTTAGTTACCACCCAGTGCAGTGGATCTACATACATTTTATTGGCTATTTGTAGCCACACCCACTTATGACGAAAAGGCTAAAACACTTTTCATAATAGCCTAAAATAGGCAGTCCATGAATACAGCACTTTGACTTAAACACAATAGACCATGCAGACACAAGTATAGCACTTACATGTACACTTACATTGTAGTAATCCAAGATTTAAGCTTAGATGTAAGAATGTACTGATGTACATGTAGCTTATTAATCTCAATACAAAACCTTTAGCTATGTGGACATGCCACAAGTATACTGGACGTGTTGCACACAGAAAATCCTGAAAATAATGCACCAGTCAGTCAATGCCGGGCATGAATTCAGGCATGTACATGTACGTCTCATGTCTGTCATTATGTCGCGCACAGATTTGTCTTTTATCAGTATTTCTATTGGTATTCATATTTCATGTCTTGCATAAATTTTAAAGTGTTTGGTACTTGTTCATTATAGCCTGACATTTTGTCTGGTCAGGTACAACTGAAATCATTATTTCCACGTCGGATTACAGATTCGTGAGGCCTTTGGCAAGTTGTGTCATGTTTGAGAATCTGGAAGCTTAAGAGTACATATGTCCAGTCTGTAGGGAGCATTTTGGTTAACTGTAAATGTGTTTTTCTGTATTTATTTCAGAACAAGACAGATGTTGAGCATAGTCAATGATCTGGTACTACAATACCAGCGAGAAAAGGTGGCCGCAGGTATGTAAAATTGATGTTCATAATAATGCTTTCAATGCGGGGGGTGGGTGGGGGGGGGATGTGATTTAGAATGTATGTGGTGCTTTCTGAACCTCGTGGGTTTACTCTGGTTTCGTCCTACAAGAAAGACCCTGCACAATTTAGACAACTTGTCAGCGATATCGCCATCAGCGGAAGTGGAGGTTAAACACTAATGATAGAAGAAGAATATTCTTTCTCAAGAGTCCTTTATATGTATGTCGTCGAGTTAATAATTCCTTCCTGAATCATTTAACTCTTCTGTTAATATTAAATGGTTTTTAGTGGGTAACTTTTATAGAACCACATGAACAGTGGAAGAATATTTTTGTCACTCTGTCTTTACTCTATTGGCTAGTCCACAATATTATGTGATACACTCAACAGAACATGCACAGTCTTACATGTATTTTACATTCAATTCATGGAAACTCATTGGGGTTTGTTTATAAGCTTACATTTTAAAATTTCCTTTAAAATTTATTCAAACAATGTCTGTCAAATTTGGATAAACTTGCTGGTATTGTTTGGTTAGTCATAAAAGGAAGGAACCTTACATGTACATGTACTTACAGTGCTGCCCACAACTAGTATCCCAGCGCAATTTGCAACACATATTTTGTCCGTTGCTAATCAAAAATTCAAATTTAACGTTTTTGATTCGCAGTAACTGCGAATCATTAATATGCCTCCTGTCACTTTGGATATTGACACGAAGATTTATCCACAATTTGAAGACTAGAGAGCTTTCTCAACACTTTCAACGTGAATAAAATATCAAATGAAATTTTATCAACAAAACTGAATTGTCCGTGTGACATTTTCTTCTTGAACAACCCAGACACAATTCATTATACTATATAATACAGTAGTACCACTTATGTTGCAAGACATGTCAATTTCGAGTAATTGTATCAGTATTCAATTTGATAAATAGAAAAATAATCCAGTGTATACCCCATTTATTGTAAATAAAAAAAAAAAAAAAAAAATAAGTACATGTAAACGTATTGTAAAATGAGAAATCAAAGTAAGAATTCCTGTAAAATATTGTTATATGTCGTGTGTGTCTGTTTAATCAAGATTATTGATAAAATACTGTGTGCATCCGATTGAACAAAAATAGTAACACACGATAAAAAGTAGACGAAATTGTTTTTAAACGAAGAAATAAGAATTAAAATGGGTGGGGCTTCGGAAGCCACTGCCAAGAATTGTCTTCAGACATAAGACCTAACCAAAAATCTACATCACATTCCGAAACTGTCACAGCTACAGTGTACCTGTAGCAGTGTTCAAAAATCTTAAGAATGAAATCTAATCATTTGTTATGAATTAAAATTTAAGAAATATCTTGTTATTTAGGTGTTTTTTATGTTGGAACTGAAAAACTGCTAATCAAATTTGGCAAAATTGGACTTTTGATTAGCAGTGTTGCTAATCATCTGTGAAAAATTACCAACAGCCCCGTGTATTAAAATGTAGAATCATGTAATGGTTTTATACATGTATTTATTGCTCATGTCGCCATTACCTTGTAGTATACACATTCCAAATTTCAGTTTTGAAAAATGTGTTCTTGATTCTTAGATTGAGCATCACTTCAAATAGTTGCAGGTGGACATATTTTTGGTGCTTGCTAACACTATGTTTAAGATTATTATTTCAAATTTGTATTGTTTGGTTAGTCATGCAACATACAGTATTGAATTTCAGTCACCCATCAATTATTTTAGGGAGCATTACCCTTGCTATCAAATGTTTTTACTGGTATTTGTCACATGAGTACTGGTATATAAATCATACGTGTATGACCGAACATACTGTAGTTAAAACTACGGAAACCAACTTTGATATCAAATGTTGTTAATAAAACACTTGGGCCCATATTTTCGAAAGTAGATTAGTGCTAATCATAGATTTATTATACAATTTTCTGACCAGTCATATTCTGGAAAGCTGACTAAATTTTAAACCAAGATTTTTGTAAACTTTGATTCGGGAATACCATAAAATGTGATATTCTGGAACGTTCACTTGTACTTTTTAAGTACATGTATTTGGATAGGCCATTATAATGCATTCAGTTATGCAGTTACGAACCCAATAAGCATGAAACAACGTTTATTTTGAAATGAAATGAAATGTGGTTTAATGTCCTTATCTGCTTGAACTGCTGGGATAATACAGTTTGCCATCAGAGTATTTTATCAAGGACAGCAGCATTACAGACTATTCTTATTTCAAATTCGCACTTTAAGGGGTTTTTCTTACCTTCCGTCCTGCAGCACTGACAAATGGTAACCAACCAGGCAGGAAAATCCAGACAAACCTCCTGGTTAGTGAGTCAGGATCTTACCCACTAAGCTCCATTAATTTATTTTTAACACCATACATTCCCCTTTCTCCATAATTCACACACACTCTTCGAATACTCAACTTACGCTGTCTGTCTATAATTATATATATTTTCGATTTACGCCCCCCCCTCCCCCAAAAAACCCCCAAAAAGGGCAAGCAAAAGCGAGGACGCATGTTCCTGAAGTAACGACCGAGAGTTTACAACCTTGATAAGATGTACTGACGCTCCACCCCCACCAACTCGGCTACTGGCCTGTTCACAAGGGTGGATACATGATTTTTCAAAAGAAGTGGTGTGGGGTTCAGCCAAACCAAAGTCTTGTCGAGCGTATCGAAGACAGCATATTTGGTGACACTTTCAAGCGATTATGTAGAGAAAAAGATACATGGCAAAGTTGACTAGAAATGACATTCGTTGCATTAAAAGAGTTTGTTACATTCTTTGTTGCCGTTTCATATGTTCACACAATATTTCCAACAAAGATGTAAGAAACGAAAAACAGCCAAGTATTTTAGGTGTTTGAAGCTTAATAATTACAAATATACTGTTCATGTTTTTATATAATAAATGATATTATATTTAATATCTCATGAAATTTTATGTAATTGGCACTCAATTATGTTTAAAAATTGCAAAAGCAATATCTAAATGGCCAATTCAATGCCATTGAAACATGAAATAGACACAATTTATGTTTATAAAATTACATGCCAAGCGGGGCGATGCGAACAACTTTACTATTAAAAATGATAATTACATTTTCATCTTCCGGGTGACCGGCCTAAGCCTGGGGTCTTATTTAAAGTGCCAATCTCAATCATATTTTGGAGAATAAAAGGGCTTAATTTTGTGTTGAAAGCCCTTGAAGTCCTCTCCCTTTGGGCCGAGCAACTAACTTAATATTAAGGCTGGGAATCGATATGAAATTTCAATATCGATTATCGGCAAGAATTTGTCAGCGATTATCGATAATAATCGATTATCATTTTTCCGGAAAAATCCGAACTTTACCGACCTGTTATTTGTGTTGATCGAGTTACAGTAGTGTTATTATCCTAGTCTAATACTGTGCCGATGTACGTAAAAAAATCAATTAATGTAAAATAATTAGTTGCTAAATGTAGGACTAACTTGAGTATTATTCTAAGTTCTGTTCTTGATTCATTTGAACCTTTTTTTATCTCCGATAAATACAAAGACAATACATGGTTTCTCTTTGCAAGTGACTGGCGATCACACAGTGTTACTACTAATAGAATAAAATAAAATAGAAGGCGTCTATTGATTGGACAATAAAAAAAATAATTACGGGCTTTCAAAGTAGAATTTTTATGATTGGTTAATTTAGATGAAAACCAAAGTAGAATTCTTCCACGAAATTACGAGAGATATAGATATTTTCCCTGGAAGTCAAAAACGTGTTTTGTATGGGCTGTATCTGACTTGATTTAGTAATAAAAGCGGAGTTGATCATTAATAATACAATTAGTTTTATCGTGAAAGCAGACGATTTCTCTACAAATCAACCAAGAACAAAGAAGGAGATAATTCTAATTTTACTATATATCACGTGCGATTGTCATTGTTCACAAAGTGCGTGACCTATTTTAGTTTCAACTAGTAATAACAACAAAAACAACGAAAATATTAAAATAATGTATAGTTTTTTACAATAATATATATTTAAAATGTGCCAGTTTGTAAGCAGAGGGGGGGAAATAGTTGTGTTGACGTTGTGTATTCATTCATTTGTCTGCATGCCAGACTACGACAAGTTCAGTTATGTGAAAGTGACCGTAACTTGCCGTCAGAAGGTAAATATACCGATAATCAATATTTGAATTTCAATATCGATTATCGTATCGCTAAATAACTTCTACGGATTATCCATTATATCGATATTTTTACACAGCCTTACTTAATATACTCAAACAACTTAAACCCATCAGTTTTCATCTGGAAATGGAGACTGGTGTCCCAAGCAGTATTATACAGTGTCTGGATAAAACCAGACTTTTATTTTATAAAATTAACGTGTAGGTGAAATGTACCTTTCGTTATCAAGTACAGAACGTGGGTCATACACTGTATACATCTTTAAAGGAACCGCAATAGAATATCAGGTCAACTAACGAAAAAAAATTGAATCGGACCTTTAAAAGCGGTTTTGATGTTGACGTCAAAACGACTCAATATTTCAAACTGAAGTTTTGAGACAAGGTAAATACACTATTCCTCTAAAATTTGGCGCTTAAATTTCATACATACACTTTTGTTTTAAAGACTCTGTTAAAATCTGTGATGTTCCCTTTAAATAGAAATATTGCAAGTACAGCTGTATATACAACATTGACAAATAATGATAAATTCACTATCCCAATACTAAAAAATTCTACAATACAAAAAAAAAATTTCATACTCTAATTTACTTTATGAACTCAGGTAGGTCACTTCTTGGAAATGTGACGTATAACAACCACTGAAATTCACTGTCAAATACTAAAAATTTCTACAATACCAAAACGAAAAATTTCACAATCTAAATTACTTGAATGTCTTTTTACCCGGACCCGTTTTTTCTCCCTGCTTACACCCTACTCATGATCCCTTTCAACCCCAG